TTTCATATTACAGAAAAGATGGCTTTGAGGACGGTTAATAGTGAGAATATAGAAAATGTTATACATGTTATGTTTTTGTGCATATTTGCCAACCACACATTCAGAAAACATACGTGACAGTTCAAAATATATTGACCGCAGAAAACAGTTAGAAGTTAGGGATAGATTAAAGAACCTATCAAAGTAAGCATTTTGAGTCTGTGTACTGGACCAAACTTAAAGATGCATTTAGGAGGACCAACATATTAACTACATTACCTGGCTGTAATTGAATCCTGAGTGGCATTGGTGAATCCGTCAAAAGCAAGGTTCAGAAAACAAAGCCCATATCCAAGTGGAGCATTGGGGTGTGCTAGTTTGCTTATCGTCTTCGAGCTAGTCTGAAAAAACACGATTAAGGTTTAAGTTCGAAATCAGAAAGTTCATTTAGCAATCAAAATACAGGTGATTCTTTAAGTTCAGAAAAATAAAAATTGTTGTCCCATTTCCTTTTTCAGTGTTTGCAAAAGATATAATTCCATTAAATCTTTTGACAGATGTAGAGGTGGATAATGGAGTATTAAGAAAGGATTCATGTAACCAGTCATAATTACTTGGTATAAGACTCGGGGCTCTGCTGGAGATAATAATGAAAAGATAGTATATTATAGATAGATATTGAGAAAGAATCCACAGGTTACTCGTCATTTTCATCTTTTAGGTTGCACTTGTGTCAGAAAGTGAGACAAAAGGGGTCATTTTTGCTCTCATACTTCCCTTTTTTCTTTTTAATTTAATTGGAGAGTTTAGGTTCAAAAGAACAACAGTTATCTTTGGTTCATCACTTCATCTTTATGAGCTCATAGATTTAAACATTTTATGGTACCCGAAAGAAAGATTTGGTTGTTCACGAACCAAAAGGTCTGAGATTGTTAGAACTTAGAAGGGAGAGAGCATGATTTAGATAGTCACCTTTGAAAGTGCGAACATGGATACCCCTCCAGCAACAAGTAATGTACAGAGATACTCTGGAAAGGTATATCTAATTCCATAAACTAGTGTACCCATCAGCATAACTGCGGAAAGAAAAAACTAATTAATACGAACAGTTATGAGGTTTTCCACTGATCCCAAACTAAAGTTCACTGTGAACTAAAATCCAGCACTTTAAGAAACATGATTATATCAAACCTTTCCCATTATACAATTATTTAGTTATTACTAAAATTGATGTGCCTATTTGATCCAGAACGCAAAGAGATCCTAATATAAATTCTCACTGTGCTCTTTTTGATAATATAATATATGAATAGCAAATCTAGTTTTGTCCGTGGACAGAGGTAACAAAATTATTTATAATTTCATTCAGCATAAGTAAACATGAGAGCTTCGCATAGCAATAAGATTTTGAGAGAGATCAATACAAATTTAAATTAGTTCTCCTTCAACTGAAGTGCAATGTATATGAGCCTGACCATTCAATTTAGAAACAAATAGTCACAACTCACCTGGAATCATTTTTGAGGATTTTGCCAGCACCTGCGCATAATGATGAGTTTAGTCTATCAACCCCGTAGAAAATAGAAGTTTCTTACATATATTATGGTTTTACATTCAAACTACCTTCCGACTGAACTCAAAAAGTAGCAGGAAATACAGTACTTTTTTTTTTGATAGGTAATCAGAAGCAGGAAATACAGTACTCAGAAATGTGGGATTATTTATTGGGCATATCTCCCATCTGAAACTCTATTAAATTGCTCTTTACACGGCTTTAGTCTAAAATATATTAAACTCTAGTTCCTTTTGTAAAAATACCATGTGTCCTACTCGTATGACAGCTTCGAAAGCATGTTTTAAAACTCACGAGGAACAATAGGAAATATCACAAGTAGCCTTTTTTTTTTTCTTTTCTTTTTCTGCAAGAAAAACTTAGAAACACAAATATTATCAATTATAGGTCAAATAGACAGCAACAGAATCTCAAACATGCCTGAGCAGGGTAACTAATGTACTTCAATGCTTCAATCCCCATAGCAGGGCCAATCGTGTTTGTGATACCGGCACTCCAATAACTCCACCAAGGAGCACCATTTCCACCATTTGTCCAAATCTTTATCACTGTAGAATTATATAAGTGTAACTGTAAGCATTCATTTCGAGACAAAAATAAGTGAGTAAAAATTGAGTACCTTGAAAACTTACTTATAAATGACCAAATCAAACAGAATACGTTTTGCGCTAGATTCAAGAATGCCAAGTGCTCGAACCTCTTCTTGTCAGCACCAAATCTCTTAGTCGACCTATATTCAAAATTAATTAAAATACACAAATAACCGCACATTGACGCCAACAAATCAAATTGAGCAAGCACATTACAATTTAAAGCAATTTCCCAAAAAGCAATTTCCCAACAACTTAGAGCCGTTCTTTTGCCATTTTTAAGCCGTTTTCTATTTTCGATTTTCAAAAACATAGAAAAAGTGTTCTCTTTCCCATTTTCGAAAATGCATTTTTTAAAACAATTTAAAAATTTATAAAGAAAATCCAAAACTACAAATTTATAGTTTGTTTTCAGTTATAATCAAGACATTTTCAACGATGTCAAAATAGACATTCAAAACACAAAATACAAAATGAATTTAAAACTCAGAACACAAAACTCAAGAGAACATCCCCTAAACAATTGACAGAACAATAGATACATAAATTAGCGTCGCAATGAAAATAATCACTATTATCATACAAAGATATGGAGCTTTAGTTATTAATTTAAAATGCCTTACACTGTCTCTTGGAGGACGCCTTGGTAAATGTAAGCGGACCAAATGCCAGCGACACAAACGGACAGGAGCAGAACGCGGCGGAGTCCGGCTCCGTGAGACTCCATTGCAATCCACCAGAAACCAACAGATCGCCGCAGTGAAATGTCAACCGAAGATCGCCGAATCCAATTTTTTTCCTTTTTGATTATTGTATATATATTTCAACTGCCGGTGCAATTTTTGGATCGTTTGCTGAGATGGGAGTTTTATGTAGAAGAAAACTGGGTCGGGAAGACTGTGAATCTCCACGTGGAGAGTTATTATTGGTTTGGATGACAGAACGTGGAATATTATTGGTGGAGAAGACGCATAAAACTTTTAATATGGTATACGTGGTCTACAAAGGAGCAATGGGCTTAGTATTCGGGTGGCTATTGTAAGCCCAATTTTGAACGGGTTATTGGGTTAAAATTGTGGGAAAAATTCATTGGTCAAGTATTTACTTTCACAAAATCACAAATCAGGCCCGAATGTTTAGATTTTCAAAATTCAGATTTTTCCCCAATTTAATTAATTATATTTAACAACTAANATATTTAACAACTAATCTAATAATATTATTTCCTTAATTTAAGCGTACAGTTAAGATTTCCTAACATAACAAAACACCTCCCCAATTACAAATTCTGTTTCATCCCCAGACTGATATCGATTTTGGACCAAAATTGACGGCAGATTAAACGAGATATTCAGTCACAGATCAGATTCCGTCCTTGCAACTCACATAGTTTCATACGATGGACATTCGACGGACGAATAAGGATTAATTCAGTCACAAATCAAAGTATTTAATCCCCGGTCGAATTTCGAATACTGAACTCAGGTTTCGTCTGTGTTGAAGGTCCAATTGAGAGCGCCAATTGGAGAAAAAACGCTTCCATTGTCGGCACCGATATTACTCATTGCTCGTCGGTATGTCACGCTATCCCATCGACGATTACGGTTCTACATAGTTTTCATAAATTTGTGACTCTAATTGATACAATAACAACGCACAATCAATAATATATGCGCAATGATGAGAATGATATGTTTGAAATCAATATATATGTGGCTTCCTACATTTGTAATCTGTGTCGTGCATGAATTCAATCAAACTGCTG